TGACAAAAACAGAAAAAAAATTATCAGATCAGACAGAGGTGAACAACAAGCCACCAGCACCGGCGCCATCTTCCCGGAAGTTTGTAAACATAGCTAATGCCTCTGATCTGAGAGATAGTTAGTGAACCAACTAATGGTGTGTTCTGAGAAACCAATTTCTGAGAGCTTATGACATAAGATGTCATGGTCCACAACCATTTTTTTAACAGTTTATTAACCTCACTAACAGAGAACATTGAAAATGAGCAGGTGTGGTTTACTGAGGATTGACTTGGAAGATAAATTTGATTTGTAGAAGTTTGGCTTGAAGGAAAAGTACTTGGTTTTTCATTACTAACTGTGGCAAACAAGGAGCTAGAGGCAACAAAATGTCTTTTGAAACAGTTTAGAATATCACGCTTATTTGACATGGGAACAAAGTTAACAAGTAAGTGTGGTGCCAGATTAGATGAATGGGAGCTGCCAGAAAGTAATTTGATAGTTTTCCAGAATCTTTTAGGGTCATTTAGATCTTTAGAGTTTTGAGATAAAAAAAAAAAGGAACTATGTTTTGCAGCTTTAATGAAAGTTGTACAATGATTCCATAGCTGACGAAATTGCAACCAAACATTGTCTGAACCAGACTGTTTTTGCTGTTGCCCTAAGCTGATCTCTCCTGTGTAGGAGATCAGCTAACTCAGGAGTAAACCAGGGACTGTCTCATTCTTTTATTCTGAACTGGCGAAAAGGGGCATGTTTATTTATAAATTGAATGACGCTATTGTGAAAATAGTTCCAAGCAAGGTTCAAGTCATCACTTAGTAAAGTACGATGCCAATCAAAATGGAACAGGTCCCTAAGGAAAGCCTGTTAATTAAAATGCTTCATGCTCCTTTTTAGAATTAATCTAGGTTTGGAACGAGGCAATTTAGTATCCCTAATGGCACCAACAATGCAATGATCACTCATATCGTCTGCAAAAACACCCAAACCAGAAAATTTATGAGGCATATTTGATATAAAGAGATCTAAAATTAGACGATCTTCCTGAACATTTAGTATTTGAATGAGTGGGGGTGTCAATGATTTGACTGAGACTGAATGACAAACAACTTATTTTTTTAATTCCTCAGACACTGGTGACAGCCAGTCTAGATTAAAATCACCAACTAGGACAATCTCATTAAAATGTAAATTCGTTAGGAACTCTGTTAATGACAATATGGTTTCAGATGTTGCTGATTGGGGACGGTAACATCCCACAAGAGTTAATGACTGGCCACCATGCAAATTAATGTTTAGTGCCAAGATTTCAAATTGATAAGGGATTGTTGTAGCAGACAACAGATGTGAATCCAGGCTGGATCTGATATAAATTGTAACACCACCTCCCTTTCTTTGATTATCAGAATGATAAATATTAAATCCGTCAATTGACACATCTTTATCCAAAATTTATTTAGATAACCAAGTTTCAGAAATAACAATTATATCCACATCAGTTTAACATGCCCAAATCCTCAAATTATCATTTTACGAAGGAGGTAACGTGTATTTATGTGCAAAAAATGTGTTCCTGATATGTTTTTCAAGTCTTTTGCGGTGTTGCAATGTGTAGAAGGTCCAGGGTTAGGCTGGATTTTGGACAACAGTAGGAGCATCATAGTTAAACATTTTCTTGTGTTTTTTGTTGCAGAGGTATTGTGGCGCTTGGCCCCCATAATCGTTTTATGGTGAGATGAATTTATAAAAGCACGGTTTCTTAGAATTCAAAAGCAATGAAGTTGGCAAGGATGGGCAAATCCAGAAGCATTAACAAGATTCAACGGCTCTAAATAGTCAAAATACTGAAAATGATGAAGATGGAGAAACTTCAGGTCCACAAAACTCTGGACCCCCCACACATGAATAGAGCCGAAGGACTTCTGATCGGAATGTTCTGATCGGCTCTCTGCAACCTCTGAGCACAAAGACACTTTTGAATTGAGCTGGATCTTCAGAGAGCTAGCACAGAACCGCACAATGGTCTAGCTCGAGTCCAAATAGTCCAGAGGAATCCACATGAAAAAAGTCCGGATGAGGTCCGGAGAAGACACCAGACTTCCAAGCAACGCCCGCCCGAGAGGCTTCCTGGGCCGGCGAGCAGCACTCAGATTGTCCGCTGAGGCTAGAAGTAGTCCTGTTCCAATTCCCGGTCAGTTCTGTATTGTTCTCTGCAGCCGCTAAGTGCCAAAGTCACTTTGAAGAAGGACCAAACTTAATCAGGTTCGGATTGGGTCAGTTTGATGTTACGAGACTGCAGAGAAGCCGAGGAAGCTGCAGACCGCAACCGCTCGAACCAGGAAGTGGTCCTGAGCTATTCCTTATTTATGCTGCTTAGTTAGCTGAGACTGCTGGAGGACAAACTGACCAAATTTCGTCACTCTGCTGCTGTCTTTACTTGCTCTTCCTGTTTGTATTTGTAATCATATATATCTTAACATGTGTTTTTTGTCTTTCCTTATAGAAAGTCCACCTGGACCTACCATTCTGTGTTTGTCTGTTTCTATTTCCTGTCCTCTCAAACTCAGCTGGTCGAAGCACATGGCTGCTCATCCTGAGCCTGGTTATGCTGGAGGTTTCTTCCTGTTAAAAGGGAATTTTTCCTTTCAACTGTCTTCTTTGTACTTGCTCAGGATGGGAGACTATGATGAATTGAAGCTTCAGCATAATCTTCTGCTTCCTTAGATAGATAACTTTTACTAATGGCTTATTTGCACTGCTCCTTATCAGCCCCAACTCTGCTCAGCCCTGCACACCCCTGCTCAGCTCAGCCTGGATTTGCACTGCACTTTAGGACCGATTCTGGAGGCGTGTCCAGAATCCAAAATCCTGCTAATGAGAGTTCTGCGATGAGTTAAACTCAAAGCAGTCTGCTCCTCAGATAATGTTAAATTATTACAAACTGCAATGAAGGTGATAGGAAGGACTGATCACCCCTCCCTGCAGTCTGTTTATGATAATAATAATAATAATAATGTAATCACAATGTCATCACTGTATGTTTATATACAATGGCGAAATTAGTCTCTGCATTTAACCCATCTACCACCAGATGGTGCAGTGGGCAGCTATTGAAAGCACTCGGGGAGCATTTTGGGGATGAGGTGTGCTGCCCAGAGACACCACGAGGTGTGCAGTGACTGGGGATTGAACCCGGGACTTTTGGGTCCCGGGCCGGCTGCCCTGCCTCTACACCATCTTGATGAGTCTGTCCTCAGACTTACTCGGAGGGTGCTGTCTGACCCCGCTCACATCATCAACTCAATATGAACTGTTACCACTGGAAACGGTTTAGAATCCCAGCTTGTAGACTTAACAGATTTAAAAATTAATTTGTCCCTACATCAATCAGATTGTTAAACAAAGTAGGCATGTAATTTTTTTATGTGCTGATGCTCTGGTCTCATTGTGTCGTTTACGTGCGGGAATGTGCAGTATGTGTTTTTATTGAATTATGTGTTTTTATTGAATTATGTGTTTTTATTAATAGGTGTTTTATATTTTTGTATTTTATTATGGGGTTCACGTGATTTTATTGGTTGTAGTGTATTTAACTGTGGAAGAAGTTTTGTTAGTGCACAATGTCCAAGACAAATTTCCCCTTGGAGACAATTAAGTATGCATCTATCTATCTAGCTATTATTTTTATATATGAAAATTTCTGTTCCGTGCCCTGACATGACTTCTGTTGTGACTTGGCACTGTATAAATAAATTGAATTGAATTAAATCTGAAAGACCAGATTCTACAAAAACATCTATATTTAAAATTCTATATTTTTCTTCATCATTTGATGTATTTGCGCTTATTGTGGTTTTGTTTCTTGTATACAGATTATTTTTTCTTGTATACAGATTATTTTTAGCTTTGATTTAAAGTTTAGCTTTGATTTAAAGCTTTAATTTAAAGTGTAATTCTTGTTTTGTGATTTGTACATCTGTGGGTTAGAATAAAGTTGAACTAAAGGCTGTAGCTCTTCTTTAAACATGTTTGAGGTAAATATTCCTGAGATCCAATAATTGTGTCTTTTTATGATTTTTCAGCTGAATTAAGTTTAATTAACAGATTATTTAATAAAGTCAAAGTGAAAACAAGATTTCATGATAAATCCAGCACTGTTTATTTATTTTTAATCTTCACTGATTAAAAAAAAAAAGTATTTTTTATACATAAAATGTTTAAAAAAAAAAAAAGCGTTTCCACCTTTTCGTCCCGGTCCTCCCGCCTGCCAGGGCTCGGAATCCGGCCTTTGTGAGCACGGGAGGCCGGGGCTCGGGGTCCGGCCTCACGTGCTTCAACAGGTCGACAGCTCGAATGATCCTCCGCGGTGACTCCGCTCGCTCGAATTTTGTCGTCGGTCACCAAACGCAAAAAACGCCTGGACTTCAGAATTAAACACGTCGTTGTCATTATTGCTTTTAAAATCTTAAAAATAGATCCAGCCACTGTTCCGCATTCTGAGAAATTGCAAATGGAAGATCGGTGAAAAGATCCAGTGACTCCTCCCCCTGACCAATCAGAGTCCTGCATTCACGTTTCGGTCCGGACTCAGCTCAACTGCGCTCACTCGGTCCCTCCAGAGAAGCAGGGACGAAAAGAGGTCCTGAATCAGCCTCAGATCAGCTAAAAAATACTGGCGCAAAAGGGTTCTTTCTGTGGCGGGCTGCGCAGAATTGTGGCTTATTAGGAGCAGTGCAAATGGGACATAAGTGTCTTTTGTAATGTTTGTGAATGTTTTTGTTCAGTGCCCTGAAACAACTTCTGTTGTGACTTGGAGCTATAGAAATAAACTGAATGGAATTGAATTTACTTTCTCCTTTTTCAGCTCTACTTTTAGTAATAAACATATATTTACTGACAGGTTAAGGGCAAATCAGAATCAGAATAAACTTTATTATATATATATATATATATATACATTTACAGTACAATTTTTAATTTATAAGTCATTTTGTGTGCTTATGTTTGTTATTTTGCAGGATAAACTGCTATGACGTGCTTTCGCCTCAGGCCCCGTTCGGGGGTTACAAAGCCTCAGGGAATGGCAGAGAGCTGGGAGAGTATGGTCTTGAAGCCTACACAGAAGTTAAAACGGTAAATACACCCATATATTATACACAAAGTTTTAAAGATTTATAGTTTAGAGATGCTTGATACAAGAAATGCAAGATTTAGAGAAAGCACATCACTAATATACGTTACCATACCAATTTATTTCTAAAGCACTTAAAATACAACAAGCACCATCCGAAGTGCTCTACAAAATTAAAAACAAACAAAAAACAGTAAAACAATAAAAACACCTAAATATATATTTAAAAAAATAATCAGAACAACATAAGTAAAAGAATACAACATTAAGACACAGATGCTGACTCACTTTAGGTTAAAAGCCAATGGGAAAAAAAAAATGTTAGTATGTGTGTGTGTGTGTGTGTGTGTGTGTGTGTGTGTGTGTGTGTGTGTGT